CCTTATAGTTTCGCTTTGGCGTCCGTCCGTCCGTCTGTCGTACACTCATATGGTTGCCATGGTAACAGTTACTATGATAACAGTTACTATGATAACAGTTACTATGATAACAGTTACTATGATTACAGTTACTATGGTTGCTATGGCAACTGTTACCATGGCAACCGTTTCCATAGCAAGCGTTACCATAGCAAGCGTTACCATAGTAACTATATCGATAGTAAAACCATATCCATAGTGGAAATTTCTCATGCTGCGGATCACTTTAAAAAAATTAACCTGTCTCTATTTAAGAACCATGAGTCAATGTTTTATTTTCTATTACAGATATTATATAGACTTTCACCATCTATAAATATCTATAGGGTTAAGTTATAATATTTTTAAAAAATTATTTATTGTTATATTTCCGAGATGTGCCAAGTAACTGTGACGTAAGGAAGCTAATCATTTCTGGTTTCACACGACATTTGCCGCGCATAGTGGTCCCCTCAAGCGAAATTATGCTTGGTCGATTGTCCAGAATGGAGCGAGATGAGCCACTTCAATGAATATACCTATATATAAAACACGTGAAGATCGTGATGGCATTTTCGATGTTACATAATGGTGAAAACCAAAGAATTCTTATGTCATAATCGACTTAATGGCTCAACAAAAACAGGTGCAGTAGATTCCAAAAATAATTAATTATGCGAAAAAAAATTTTTTTCCCTATATAAATTGTATATGCCAGCCAAAAAAATGTTTCTTTGAATCAAAAGAAGTATTTTCTTTTGATATATAGGGTCAAAGAAAAAAATTTCTTTAATTTACAGAAAATCTATTTAATTTAGAAGAAAATTTATTTAATTTAAAAAAAAAATTGTTTAATTTAAAAAAAATACTTTTTCAGTATCAAAGTTTTATTTGGAATTGGAAAAATTTTCTTTAAATCAAATAAATTTTCTTTAAATTAAAGAAAATATGCAGACAGATAAAACTGCAAAATTTCCACTCCCGTTATTTTTTTTTTTTTTTACAAATTTTATTTAAATAAGCGAAATATTTTAGGGATTTGTTACAGACATATAGGGTAATAATAATTTACCAAAGTTACAAGCCAGTTCAATAATTTTGAACTTTTGACCTAAACAGTTCATGAATATTACCCCAATATATGGGACGTTCAACATCAACAAGGACATGTTTTTGGACAAAAGTAGTTTTAACGAATTTGAATGTTCTAGGGCTTAAAAATCTCGTATATATTTTATAATTTTAAAAGCCAAGTAGCGTTTTTCGAAAATTTTAAATGGCGATTCCAATATGGCGGATAAATTACATTAAGTTCGGAAAATTTGAATTTACCTAAATGTCTTCAATAAAATTTTTATTTAAACCCACTTGTTTTGAAATAAATTTTATTTAACCTAATATTTATATAACAAAATATATACATAAAAAGCTTTTTTTTTTGTTTTTCTTTTTAATTGCTATATTTTTACGACGGAATTTACTTTTAATATATAATCTTAAGTGTTCCGAAGTATTTAATTAGCAAGATGGATTATATGGCGAAAATGAACTCATAAATCTTTCTTTAAAATATATATTGTTGAAAAGATAAAAAGTGTTGAAGTCAGTTATATATTAAGAAAATAAAAAAAAGAAAAAAAAGAGCGCAGAATATTGCTTATTAATATTATTAATTTTTTTTTTGCTCCGCCTTATGGCAAATAAATCCTCGAGTTCACTTTTTTTTGTTATTTATTTTCTCTTCATCTCTGCGCACACTTTTTTTTCTCCATCATCGCGATTAACTTATGTGTTTGAAAATTCTTCTTCCTGGGTATATAAGTTTGGCTCTTGGCTCTTGATGCTATATGGGCAAAATTCCTACCATAATTTCGGACTTTAAACATTCTCAGAATCAAGTGGATAGACATTCACGGTACGCCCATTTCTGTATATTTCTCTTTTCGGAGTCTGTCTGGAGCATATTGTATATATATATAGATATAGAAATTTTTTACAAAAGGACCTTCAAAGGGTTTCAACAAACTATCAAATTCTGCGAATGAATCATATTTCGGACCACGAAAAGTTTTTCAATTGTCTTTTTGTAAATTTTTTGATTCCATCAATTTAAATATTAATTATGAAGGAAAAAAAATTTATATTCTGAGCTCGAGGTCAAAGCATGACTACTTTATGTTTTTTGGATCGCCGAAACCGAATCTGATGTCAGTTTAACCCCATCACGTCAGGTATTTGACATAATCTCAAAAAACCTCAAAATTTGTCGTCAAAATTTTAAAATCAAGTAAAATTCGGATCTATAAATGTTACCGTAAATACTTTATGTTTTTTTTGGTGTTGCAAAAGTCGAATATGAAGTCAGGCTTTTGAAGCAAACTCAAAAAATCCGTTCCAAAATTTAAAAATCAAGAAAAATTCTGATTTTTAAGTCTTACCGTGACTACTCTTTGATTTTGAAGTCACTGAAATCAAATCTAAAGTCTATTTCACCCTATCACGTCAGGATTTTGACATATCATAAACAAAACATTAACCTTCGCCGGACTGGATACTTTTTATATACACGGTTGACAGGTCGGTGAAGTTCACATCGATTATGATCATCGAAAATTTAAAATCCAAGTTACTCCATAAACACAACAAAAACGTACAAATAACTTCAAAAAAAGAATATACATAACAAAAAAATTCAGTTCAACCCCAATTTCATTTAAAAACCACCCCTAGTATAACCCCCTATAATGACACATTGAAAAAAAATTCACCAAAAATTCAATTTTTCTTAGGCTCAAAATTTTATTTCATATTCTCGCACTAAACACACCTACAAGTGTTGAAAAAAATTGACACCCCAAAAAAAGTGGGGGAAAGTCCCCAAAACCTACCCTAAAGACCCCATCTTTAATAAAAAAAATTCCCAAAAAATTCAATTTTTCTTAGGCTCAAAATTTTTTTTCATATTCTCGCACTAAACACACCTACAAGTGTTGAAAAAAATTGACACCCCAAAAAAAGTGGGGGAAAGTCCCCAAAACCTACCCTAAAGACCCCATCTTTAATAAAAAAAATTCCCAAAAAATTCAATTTTTCTTAGGCTCAAAATTTTTTTTCATATTCTCGCACTAAACACACCTACAAGTGTTGAAAAAAATTGACACCCCAAAAAAAGTGGGGGAAAGTCCCCAAAACCTACCCTAAAGACCCCATCTTTAATAAAAAAATTCCCAAAAAATTCAATTTTTCTTAGGCTCAAAATTTTTTTTCATATTCTCGCACTAAACACACCTACAAGTGTTGAAAAAAATTGACACCCCAAAAAAAATGGGGGAAAGTCCCCAAAACCTACCCTAAAGACCCCATCTTTAATAAAAAAATTCCCAAAAAATTCAATTTTTCTTAGGCTCAAAATTTTTTTTCATATTCTCGCACTAAACACACCTACAAGTGTTGAAAAAAATTGACACCCCAAAAAAAGTGGGGGAAAGTCCCCAAAACCTACCCTAAAGACCCCATCTTTAATAAAAAAATTCCCAAAAAATTCAATTTTTCTTAGGCTCAAAATTTTTTTTCATATTCTCGCACAAAACACACCTACAAGTGTTGAAAAAAATTGACAACCCAAAAAAAGTGGGGGAAAGTCCCCAAAACCTACCCTAAAGACCCCATCTTTAATAAAAAAATTCCCAAAAAATTCAATTTTTCTTAGGCTCAAAATTTTTTTTCATATTCTCGCACTAAACACACCTACAAGTGTTGAAAAAAATTGACACCCCAAAAAAAGTGGGGGAAAGTCCCCAAAACCTACCCTAAAGACCCCATCTTTAATAAAAAAATTCCCAAAAAATTCAATTTTTCTTAGGCTCAAAATTTTTTTTCATATTCTCGCACTAAACACACCTACAAGTGTTGAAAAAAATTGACACCCCAAAAAAAATGGGGGAAAGTCCCCAAAACCTACCCTAAAGACCCCATCTTTAATAAAAAAATTCCCAAAAAATTCAATTTTTCTTAGGCTCAAAATTTTTTTTCATATTCTCGCACTAAACACACCTACAAGTGTTGAAAAAAATTGACACCCCAAAAAAAGTGGGGGAAAGTCCCCAAAACCTACCCTAAAGACCCCATCTTTAATAAAAAAATTCCCAAAAAATTCAATTTTTCTTAGGCTCAAAATTTTTTTTCATATTCTCGCACAAAACACACCTACAAGTGTTGAAAAAAATTGACAACCCAAAAAAAGTGGGGGAAAGTCCCCAAAACCTACCCTAAAGACCCCATCTTTAATAAAAAAATTCCCAAAAAATTCAATTTTTCTTAGGCTCAAAATTTTTTTTCATATTCTCGCACTAAACACACCTACAAGTGTTGAAAAAAATTGACACCCCAAAAAAAGTGGGGGAAAGTCCCCAAAACCTACCCTAAAGACCCCATCTTTAATAAAAAAATTCCCAAAAAATTCAATTTTTCTTACCCACATAACACATAATATTTCAGCAATGTTGCTGCAATATTTTTTTGCAACATTTGAAATATTTCTTTGTAATATTGCAATAATATTTCAGGAATATTGCTATGTCCGACTCATGGAATATTTCAAAATAATATTCCAGCAATATTTCAATGAAATTTTACAAAACCATTTACTTCAATATCTCAGGAATATGACAATGAAATATTGCTGATATGTTACTTTACAATATTGATGAAATATTGCTTCGCAATATTTTAAAAATATTATTTTAAAATATTATAAAATTTTCCAAAAATTATTTTTGAAACTATTAAAAAACGTGTATTTTTTATATATAAAATATTGCAATTTGATTTTGTTAGTTTTACTGTTTATAAATAAAATATTAAAGAAATTTCTTTTATGTACAATTTGAGGATTTAAAAATGAATTATTTTTTTATTTTTAATTTATTTTTAAAATATTTTTATAATTTATATATAGGAATTAGAAGAACATATTTCTTTATTTGCCAAGATTCAGAGTAATTAAATATAATAGTAATAGTTACAATAATAAATTGTGGTAACACAAGTAGTCAAATAATAGATAATAAAGAAATAATTTAAATAAAACGACGAAGTTTAAATCAGATTAACACTGTAATTAAGCATCTTCTTCATCGTCAGCTTCAGTTTCTTCGAATTCTTCGCCATCATCTTCGCCATCATCTTCGCCATCTTCTTTGCCATTGTCTTTGTCATTGTCTTTGTCATCCCCTTCTTTAGCTCTACAGAATAAAAACATTTATTTTTTAAAAAAGTTATTATTAAAAATTTATAAAATGAAACTTTTTTCTTTAAAACTTGTAATTTTTAACTAGTTATAATTGATTTTCAAGAAAAGTTGAAATATCAAATTTAGAAAGAATCCATATATTTATTTTCACTTTTCTTAAAGTGAGATCTCACTTTCAGGAATTTAGAAAATATATTTTTTGAATAGAAAATAAATATTTGTTAGTTATATTAATAAAACGGAAAATAATGTTAACAACAATGGCTTTTCTTACAACTCTCTGGTCAATCTTGTTTTAGCTTGTGCGAACCACTTAGAACCAATCAACTTAATTGTATGATCAGCTTCATTTGGGCAAGATACTTTGACACTTCCTGAAATAAAGTGAAAAAATGATTAATTTATTAAATAAATAAACGAGTGTAAATTTAAATAATTTTGAAGAAATTGTTTACTTTGACTTGTTTCTTTGGATTAAAGTCAATTTTTCTTTGATTTTAAAAAAATTTATCTTTTATTTTTTTCATTTTTAATTTAAATAAAATTTTTTTAAACCAATATGAATATTTGAATTTCTTTGATTTAAAGAACAATTTTAGTTGATTGAAAGAAAAATTATTTTAAATGACAGAAAAAGTCAGAGAAATAATTTTTTTTAAATTAAAAAAAATAAATTTTAAATTATTCGAATTTCGTTTATCTTTTCTTACTAATGATTAAATTTGCAAAGTTGGTATCCTCCAACGACTTCTTGGATTTCCTTCCTGCCCAACTGTAAAAAGTAGCAACCTTATTTGAAAAAAGTTTGCTGCATATATTTGCCAAAACATTGTTGACATCTCTACCACCAATGGATCCTAAAGCATTTTTCTGAAATACATAAAATTATGCAAAATATTTTCTTATTCTTAAGTGATAGTTCACAAGTATCTTAATATATTTTTAGAGTATCTAATTTCTATTGACAAAGAGTGAACTCCAACTTTCGACATTAATTTAATCCTAAACTAAAATCTACCCAATTTTTTGTGCTTTGTATTAATTTTGAAATCAATTTGAAACAGCTAGAGAGAGTGAAATCAAAATCAACATTAACTAACCAATTTAATTTTTAATTTCTTATCGTCTTCCAGTTTTTTACTTATTGACATTACATCTTTTTTGGTACCAATTGGTAATTTCGGGCATTTTGGGGAATCGAAGAATGATCTACTATCATTAATAGTTCCCGAACTACTTTGAGACTGAATTTTCATGCTTCTAAGAATTAAAATTATTTCATTCAATTTTGATAATGATAACTCTTCATATGAAACACCTATTTAGAAAGATAAAAAAATATTGATAAATGTATGAGAAAAAGAATGAACCTTTATAGTAAATTTTATAATCAAAATTGTACTAATTTAGATTTAGGGAAATGAATTTTCTAGTATAAAATGAAAATATTTCCGGAAAACCTCGAAAAATTTTCGGAAGTTTATTCCCGGAAGTGAATTACTGTAGACTTTTCTATGGAATTCCTATAAAGCTTCTGATAATTTCTCATGGAATTTCTCAGGAGCTCATTCCTAGGAATTATCTCCCAAAACTTTGCCGGAAATATTTTCACGTGGAATATTTACGTTTCAGATCTGAAAGAACCATGTGTTTCATATTCAATTTTATATGAATACGAATTATTTTGGAATGTATTTTAGTGAACAAAATTTTTTGTTTCATTACCTGACATTCGATCTCGGTATTCCAAACTTGCCATACTGTTCCCAAAGTTTGATACATTTTTAGTTTTAGGCGCATTTGAAATTTTATCATTGACAGATATGTCATTTTCTGAAGATGCTAATGTAGATGTGGCATTATTTGATCTTTGTCCATTTTCAGACGATGTGCTTGGAGTAGCAGTATCTTCTGTGGTCAAACCTATTAAAAAAGTAATTTTCATTCAAAATACCATAATAAAATTTTACAAAAGGAGGAATATTGTTACTAAAATTTGGAGCAAATATCATCAACAATTAAAATATTAAAAATAAATTACTTTTTTAATATATTTATTTCAAGTAAAGTATTAGTCAATGATAAATATAAAAATAATATACTTATAATATAAAAATTTTAATAATAAATAAAAAGGTTTAAGTTAATAAAAATATTTAATTTATATCAGTTATTTGATTCTTTTATTTCATTTTCACTTCCTTTATATTATATTTTTGGTTTATTTTTTAACTTTAAAAAGTTTAATTTAGTTTAAAAAAAAATATTTAAACGAATTAATAAAATTAAGACAATAATAAAGTTAATAAATATTTACTTTTAGTCCTAGTTTAAAAGACTAACCCGTTTGTTTTGAATCATTCAATGATCCTGGCGTAACAAGCACAATTGCATCTCTTGATGTATCGTCGACGGACGGAGGCTCGGTATGGGAGTCATTTGTAGAAAGGTAACTTGTGGATCCTGGGGATTTTGTTTTAATAAAATCTAATACAAAGATCAGGGATAAGAAAATTACTGAAAACAATTTAGAGTAAATTTCACACAGTGAGTGTGTTCAGAAGTACTGTAAACAATTTATTTATTTTATATATTTATATGAAGTAAAATAAGATTAGTCAATATTTTAATAAAGCTAATTGAAATAATATTATTAATAATAATAATAATAATAATAATTAAACTAATCAATAAAATTAAGACATTTATAAACTTATAAATATTTTATAAATAAATATTTAATTTTTTGAATTGAATAAAAAATTAATACCCTTTTGTTTTGAATTTTGCAATGAACTTGGAGCTGCAAATGCCCTTGCATCTATTGTTGCATCTTTTCCATTGCCAGATTCATCAATCCGAATTCGTTTCACAGGAGGCAAGGGGATACTAATGCGAGGCTCTAGAATTTTTTCATACGTTATTTTTGGCTTTTGACGTTTCGTTTCTGAGCTGCTCACGCTTTTGTCGATTTGTTTGATGGTTTTTATAGAATCATCTTGAGGAGTTGATGATGAAATCACTTTAGCACGATCACTTCTAGATTTTTTATAATTGTCGGAGTAATTATCGATGGCGTCACTATCAATTTCTGATAGAACTAAGGCTTCAAGCAATTTTTGTTTGCCTTTTTCAAATGTACCTAAGAATAAAAATATAATTGAAACAAAGCGACTACTTTGCTGTTATAAAAGAAAAATGAATTATAATTACTTGACTGAAAAAAATTTTAAACTCAGAAAAATCATTTATTTCTTTGATTGTGAATGAATGAATGAATAATAAACAAATTTATGAAAACGTGTGTAATAAACGTGGGTATGATATGTTTGAATTGTACAATGTTAAATATGAACAAATTTTTTTATTTTATTAAAAATGTGAATATTTACTTGTTCTTATTAAATATTTCTTGACATCGTATTGTTTCCAAGTTAAATCAGGGTTTATCAATTTTGAGATCATCTGATTCAATTTTGAAGTTTTTTCAGAAGGCGGATAGTAACATACGTATTTGTTGTTTCCAAGATTGATAATCCATGTCGTCGGGACTAATACAACTCCGTCATGCAACTCTACCACAGAAAACGGCATATTTTTTGCGTACCTTCTTTTATAACATAATTTAAATAAATCGCGCACTGAAAACTATTTGTGTACGTCAAATCTGTTATTTGCTTTGATTAAGTGAAGTATGTTGAATTAAAACAATTGCACATTGTTTAATGGTAACTAAGAATGAAACATTGCAATGTTAATAAAATTTAGTCCGTAAGATGTCACTTTCTAAAAAATGTCATTTGGTTTAAAAATTATTTAATTCTGTTAAATGGAGTTTTAAAAATATGAAGAATTTATGGGGAAAACGATTCGAATAAATATTTGAATTATATAAAAAGTTTGATGATTATTTTTACAAGTATTTTTTCACAGAGGTAAATAGTAATTTTCATATCAATCACAAATAACTTATTTGAAAAGGAAAATCGTAAATAGGTATTCTATTTTTTCAAATTTTGAATATATTTTCAGACTGCTTATTTTGTGTTTAATTATTTTTATTTTTCATTTTAATTTATATACTTTTTTTAAATTTTTTTTTGTGGTGTTAAAAATTCAATTTTTTTCATTATTTATATTAAATTCTTGTTGTATTTATTTGTATGCAACGGAATTATGTTTTATTTAAAAATTTTCCGTCTTAAATTTTTTTCCTAAAAACTATAAAATTTTCGTTTCAAACTTGTGATAATTTTAATATTCGTCAAAAAATTTTAATTGATTGAAAAATATTTATTTTCGTCGCGCATATTTTTTTACTGTTACAAATATATTAATCAAAATAATTATTTAATCTGCTCCATTCAAGCAGAAGTATACTAAATTGAACAAATTTTTGTTTTAATTAAAAATTTGAGAAAATTCAAGTCTAAATTTGGATAGAACTGCGGAAAATATTTATTCGATTAATCGAAATTTATTTTAAAATTTTTATTAGATTATTACTATATTATATTTTATTTATTCTAAAATAAAGGATTAAATTTAAATTAAATTATATTTAAAATTGAAATATAATGTGAAACATTATAAAAATATGCTTATTAAAAAATTACGTTTATTTATACTAATGAAAATTTTTCGTATGTATTTATTTATCAGTAGAAATCAAGTTACGATAATGTTGATCTCATAAATTTACTTCTCAAAGATTTATCTTCTATGATTGTATGCGTTTTTTCAGGTTATAAAGCTCTTTTTGTAGCTTCTACCATTATGCCGAAAGTGAGTTCTCAGAATAGTTATTCAAACAGACATATTAGGCGATTACGAGACAATCTAACAAAATTGGATTTAAAACGTTTAACTTTTCGAAAACGTAACAAAGATTCAAGAGAAAAAAATACCGAAGATTTAAACAAAAACAAAAATGTTCTTTTTAGTGAAAATATTGAAAATGACGACGATTATATTCCTACAGATATACCGTCTGAGAATGAAAATGACTATCTATCTTGTAGTCAGTGAATTTTAATTTTTATATTTATTATTATGTTACGTATTATATCCCTAACAACAACGGATATTCCAGGATATCCTACCGACGTCCTAGTCATATCCGGAAATTAGGATATCTCTGGGATGTCCTTAGGATGTCTACGGATATTCGTGGGACATTCTACGAATATTTTTAATCTAGATATCTTTTGGTTGTCCGTAGGATATCTTAAATATACGGATACTGGAGATATATTATTATTATGTGAAGTGTAGAAAAGCTCGAAAAGTCGGGTCTGGATGATTTTTTTCGAGTCGGGTCGAGAGCGACTTTTCTCGTAGTATCAGCTACTAGAAGACATGAGTAATCGAAAATTTTCTGTTCCTTAAAAATTTCGAGTACTGGATATATCAAAGTTCAAACACATCTCTTACATCTAGAATATTTTTTAATTATGAATAAAAAAATATTTTCAAAAAATAAAAAGTTTCGGGTACCCGAATGATTTTGGCCTTGTAAAAAATGAAAAAAAATATATAAAAAACCCTACTTGAACTCGAATTGACCAAATTCAACCCGACTCGAAAATGGAAAAGTCTGAAATTACTCGATCGGGTTTCGAGCATTTTGCACATTTCTAATTATTATTATTTATTATTTTATTTATTAATATATTTATATTCTGAACTAGATGAAGAAGATGATGAAATTGATAATACGCTTATTATTAAAAATAAAGAAGAAGAAAAAATATTGGAAAAGCAAGTGGAAATAGATGAAGGAAAAATAGAGAGAGAAACAGAAGTAAAAGAAGGAGGAGAAGGATACGGAGAAGAAGATGAATTGGAAGAAATGTTGGATTTTGATTTTAAACTTCAAGATGAGCAAAGCAATTCAGACAGTGACAGTGATTGTGAGGAAGAAAATTCTGAGTCCAGTTGTTCTGAAGATGAAGAAGAAGAAAAGAAAGAAGAAAATCAGAAAAAAAATAAAAAATTTAAAATAGCATTAAGTCAATGGGCACTATTATATAATATCCCTTTAGTTGCATTGACTGCACTGCTTTTGATTTTATTGACATTTACTGATTATGTACTCCCACACACTGCTCGAACCTTATTGAAAACTCCTCGAAATACTAAAACATCAATTATGTCTGACGCCGGAGAATATTTACATCTAGGTTTGATGCGAGCTTTGCAGTCTATTTTGAAAATTCAGAAATTTAAAGGAACTTTAAAGAATAGCCTGAATTTGTATATTAATATCGATGGTTTGCCAATATACAAAAGCTCAAAGAAATCTTTATGGTTAATTTTTTGTTCTGAGGTAAATTCCAAAAGTGTATATCTAATTGGGGCTTACTTTGGTGAACACCATCCTGGTAATTCAAATGAGTTTTTGTCGAAATTTGTCGAGGAAGCAAAGTCATTCTGCAAGTCAGGCATCATGTTTGAAAATAGAAAAATTAATGTAAATATTCATGGACTCATTTGTGATGCTCCAGCTAAAAGCTTAGTATTAAATGTAAAAGGTCATACTGGATATAACTGTTGTCCCAAATGCAAGGTTAAAGGAGAAGGCATTTTACCTCAGCAGATTGGCAAAAACAAGAAAAGAAAAAGACGAGTGTGTTTTCCTGGTGTTGGACCATTCGAAAAAAGGACAGACTTGGAATTCGCTAGGAATGTATACATAGGTACTTACCAAAAAGGAGAAGCAACTGTTTTAACTCGAATTCCTAGATTTGGTGCTGTTTCCAATGTGCCAAGTGACTATATGCACTTAGTCCTATTAGGAATAATGAAAAAACTAATTCTTTTATGGTTAGCAGGTCCAGCTAAAGTCAGACTTTCTGCATCAAAAATTGATAAAATTTCTATTAAATTAATAGAGTTGCAGAGAAGTCAACCAAGTGAGTTTGCGAGAAGGCCAAGATCATTAAGGGACGTAAAATTTTGGAAAGCAACAGAGTTTAGAAATTTCTTGTTATACAGTGGACCTATTGTTCTTAAAAATGTTTTGGAAGAACAATTTTATATAAATTTCATGGCTCTTCATGTAGCATTAACTATTATTTCAAGCCCAATTTTTATTAGAATTCCAGGAGAAATAGATTATGCTCAAGAACTTATCGAATATTTCATTACAACTTTTGAGAACGAATACGGAAAGGAATTTATGTCGTACAACTTTCATAATTTACTTCATCTTTGTGAGGATGTTAAAAAATATGGATCTGTGGATGAATTTAGCGCATTCAAATTCGAAAATTATATGACAACGGTAAAAAAGAAATTAAGAAAAGCTAATAAACCTTTGCAACAATTAGCAAGGAGATACGCCGAAGAACAAGTTTTCGAAGAAATGAATATCAATCAACCGGATATAGTTTTAAAACACTCTCATTTTGAAGGTCCTTTGATTAATGATGGTTTGAAGATAAAAAAGCAATACAAGATAATTACAAATAAATCGTTTTCGATTGATTGTTCTAGTTCAAGAAACAATTGCGTTTTGTTAAAAGACGGCTCAGTTGTAACGGTCTTGAATATCATTGAGTCAGAAGAGGGAAATGTTTATTTAATAGGAAAAAAACACATTTCCGAGGGACCTTTATTTACAACTCCTTGTAATTCAAGTGATTATAATATTCAAAAAATTTCAAGCAGCAACAATAAATCTTTTTGTTTATGGCCTCTTTCCGAATTAAAATCAAAAATGTGGAAGATACCTGAAACTAGAAAACTGTCAGCCGTGTTTCCAATATTGCACACAACTTCTTGTTAACCACAAGTAATTTATAAACATTTTCATTTTTTATTTCTATTATTACTATTTCAGATAGTTTAGTTTTAAACTAATTTATTTTCTGTGTACAACACAATAAGAGAAGCTTTTAAAAAAGCAATTCCTTTCTGAATAAAATAAATGTATTAATTATAGACAAACATACCTATGCCGGTTATTAATTCAAAATTAAAATAAGTGAAATATTTTTTTCAGATACAAGCAGTAAAATCTATTGGTCGAAGGAATTCCACAAGTGAATTACTATTTATGCTACATGCTTTTTTAAAGAAATTGTTTTTTATTGAAAGTCAAAATCGTTAAAGTCAAATTCAAAGCTGGCAAGGCGAACATTCCAACTTTACAGAATTGATAATAATTAATTAAACAAATCTAAAGCAGATTTTTCCCAATTTTAATCGGTAGAGTTCTGTTAATAATTTGGTGAAAAGTGAGTTAATAATTTCAATTTGGTTATTTTTGCTTCCTCGTGGAGGAATCTTTGTAGTCCTTTCGTTTATAAAACTTTTCAAAGTGGCGGAAACAAATTTTTTTCTTTATAGAAACATGTTATATAAGATCCTGATCAATTGTCCGGATGATGTATGTATGTGTATGTATGTGTGTGTGTGTGTGTGTGGATCCCTTTTTTGTTTAGAAGATAACTTTAACAGGTTTTAATGGATTTAGATAAAATTTTGTAGGCTCATTTATCATATTAATATCTCAAATCTGACCAAAGGATTTTAAAAAATACCCCCAAAAAAAATTTTATCGTCT